ACAAAAAAAATCTTCAAAATCGTTCCAACCATACACCACTGACAAGTACAAAAAAATTGTAGGAACGTGAAGAACAGAATACTAATCGATTTCAACATCAGAATATCCAAGGAAATAACCATTAGGAAATTTGTTATTATCATTCACAGCAAGATCAGGGCCTCAATTCTGCTATTTTATGTTTACGCCAAGCCAGTGTCATACCACTGACACGCTATTGAGATGCCATCGAGTGGCCATTGGCATCAGTATAAATATCGGTAGTTGAAAATATATTACGTTTTTTGAGGAAATGATTGATGAGGATGAGGAAAAGAAAAATAAATGATTAAATAAAAAAAGTAAAAGAAATATAAATTAAAATTTATTATAATAAAAATAAATAAATCATTTCCTTTTGAGGAAATGATTTATTATTATTTTAACGTAATATATATTTTTATTTTAATAATAAATAAATCTTTGTTTTATAATTTTAAGTTTTTAATAATTTATTTTAATTAATTTATTTATTTTAATAATTTATTATAATAAAAATAAATAAATCATTTCCTCAAAAAACGTAATATATTTTCAACTACCGATATTTATACCGATGCCAATGGCCACTTGATGACATCTCAATAGCGTGTCAGTGGTATGACACTGGCTTGGCGTGAACATAAAATAGCAGAATTGAGGCCCAGTAAGGCTGTTTAACTGTGTAAAATCTTTTTTGTGTATTTGAGTAGTCTATAGATCATTTAAATTATTTTTTAGCTCCATTGGTCACACAATCTTCATATGTACAACTAGCTGAGACCCGCGGTGTTACCCGCGTTTGTTGTTATAACCGCGGGCAACGCCGCGGGGCGAAGCTAGTCTAAAAAAAGTTGCCTTAGTTACTCCTTATGTGATCAGCTATCTGCCAGTGAAAGTCCCGTCGAAATCGGTCCAGCCGTTCCAGAGATTACCAGGAACACACAGATAGACAGACAAAAATTGTAAAAAATGTTATTTTATGCATATGTACCGTCTAAACATACATATGCATTTAGTAAAAAGCGGTTATTTTAATATTACAAACAGACACTCCAATTTTATTTATTTGTATAGATTAATAGAGGCAAAAACAGTTAAATTGAGCGGTCATAGAGTGATGCTTGACACACATGTGCCAATAGTTTTTCTATATAATAATAATATACAGAAAAGTCATATGATTTTACATGGCTATGTTTTTTCTATGTCAAGTAGTTTTTTATCTAAATAACTGTGCAATCTCTGGCGCAAACATTTTTTTCAATTCACACTGTGTCTTCATGTGACATCCGTTAGTCGTACACTTTAAAAGTGTTCATCACCGTTCGCTAGCTGTCTAACGAGACAGCTATCTATTTCGTAAAAATTACATAGTCAAATGTTTAATGTTCCCAAAAATCCTTCCAGTATCCTTGTCCAGGGTATCAAAAGATACCTGAGTATTGTAAAAATATATACCGCTGTATGCAAACCAATTACCATGAAAAAGCACAACCTACTGACAATAAGTTACAAACTAGCCATTTTGGCTAATACATTTTTTTGTTCACAAAAATTACAATACTTTGCTAAACCTTTTAAATGATACCCCATTATGTAGGTGACACAATATGATTTATACTGGACCAAAAGAAAATCGAATTATTTGCTCCTTTAACTGTCAGACTGAGATGCATTTGCCAACGCTGTAGAAAGTTTAAACATATATATACTCCCTATTGTAAAGTATACAAAAATACAGACTCTAATATTTTATACCTACATAAAATGTAAAATACAATCTTCTTTTTTTGTAAAATGACAATTATTAATCTTTATTCACACCACCCAATAAAAATACTAAGCTAAGCTGTAAGTAAGATACATCCAGAAAATCTACTATCTACACCTGAATTCGTCCATGAGACGTGCAAACCTGCATTTTAGACTTCTATGTAAAATATAGTAGATGTAAAGTCTCAATAAAACGAGAAGTCAACGTCAATTTTCTGAATGCTGGTAAATAGCCGGCATTTTCACTATTCATCTTCTTTCTTTTGTAACTGTCAACTTCCGTAAGTACCTACATAAAACGTACAACAGCAACATCACGACAACCTGTTGCTAATCAACTTTTTAACCACGAGCGCTAATATTCAATCTAAAGGATTTATTTTTCATATTGTCTATCCTAGTCCTATTGTCCAGAACATATCTTAACAGTCAAATTTTATCCTACAGGCAGACAACACTTATTCATACCCCTACTTTTTGTGATTCCCGGAATGCAATTACAGAAGTGTAGTAAGAAAATAGGTTTGTAGTATAGGCAAAATCCAAAGAGGTTAGCATTCACAGTTGTATTGACGCTTGAAGGTCTAAGCTCTCGACTGAAGTCTCGACTTTTGAAGCTAACCACTTTCTAGCATCATGTCTTAAAAAAAACAAGTATTATTCCGAACCATATCTGAATGTATGCATTAACATGTCAAGATACAAATCTAACTATACATTAAGTTTTATTAGAAACTAGTTTAAAGCGCAGGTAAATTGTTCCTTACAAGTAGTATATACAACCACGTTAAGCCGTCATAAAACGTGGACGAACACAGATAATCTACAGTCAACATTAACTCATTACTAGCCCGCATTCTTCCTGCTTATAAGCACTTAGTAGGTCATGGTGTAGTAGGAATAGTTGTATAAACACAGCACAATAACTGCTGTCCTCTTAAATAGACAAAATACGTTATTATAATACGTTAGAAATTATCTATCGCATTGGATTTAAGTAGAAGTTACTACGAGATACCTAGAGATAATACAATGTCAATTCTTTAGACAAAGGATAAAGACATCTACATTACTTTTTTATAGAATCTGTCAATAATAAAATATATATATATATACATAGACAATTCAAGAGCTACACATTTAAAATTAGAATATTCGCTTTAGGTGTATGTCAAGGTTAATTTATTGGTGCTTAGCAGAAATTATAACACCTCGTACAGCAATATGTCCATTTCAAAATTCGGAATAAATACGACCTCTTCAAGACCAACACATTATTAGAACATGTTTGCAATAGTAGTGGAGAATATTCTCAACAGTAATAAAAGCCTGACTAATACTATCTTTTGTTGAAGTTTGTTTTAAACAATAAGTTAGACTGTGTGAGAACCAGTCCTAATAATCATAAAAAAATAACAACCGCACACAGCTCACACACGGCAACCTGATCCCAAACTAGGCAAAGTCTGTACTATGGAACGAGATTGTAGATAATCATTATTACATATTTTAGACAGACAAAGAACTAATGATCGTGTTCATTACACAAGTATTTGTCCTTGGTTGATCCACGACCTCTGCCTTAGCAGTCAGGATCACTAACAACTAGGCCAACAGGCAGAAATATAATTGTATTTAGGGATGGAATAATCACAATCACATGTCTTAAATCATATGATTTATTAATCTTAAAATCACACCTGTGAGTAATTTACTAAACCACTGTGACTTATTATTATTATTATGCTAGCGCAAGACTCGCGAAAGGGCTAAATCTAAAAAAAATAACTGATAAAAAGAATTTTGATTGATATTAATGGCTAATCTTGTCTCTGAAGAAATCACAATCACATGTGAAAAATGATTTAAATGTAGCAATAATTTCCATGTCTAATTCCATAATTCTAATAGTAGCAGTCTAATTACATTCTAAGGGTAATTACAGTCTAAGGGTACATTTTACTATAATTTATAATTGTTTAAAAAAAGAATCAGCCCAATAACATTATCCTTCCCTTCATATATTCATAGTTACCATTAAAATGCACCCGAATATGAGAAAGCTGTCACAATGAATTCGCAGAACTGTATTCAAGTTCTTACCTACAGACCATTTATTGTAAAGAAATCTTCGCATTTCATCCAGCCGAGGTAATTACCATGAATTACACACATATATGCACCAATACCCTCCTATCATAACCCACCAGTTCCCAAAAACCTCCTATCATGTCAGGCAGGTGCGTGAAACAAGCGTGCCTCGCGCCATTATGTCCCCATAATTACGTGATTACTTATACCAATTGATTTAGAGAGGTCTTTTCCTCAAAAAGTTCTGTAAAAGGCTTAAAGAATAAACATCATCAAGTCTGTTGTTTAGCAGTAGTTTATATATATATATGGAATACTCGAACTTGGCAATGAATATTTTATAATAATACATTAAAAGTAATCAAAGTATTTTTAAATGAAAATTGACATTTCTTGCGTAAAACCCATTAAAATAGTTAGATTAAAAAAGTATACTTTGCTACGATCAAAATTAGCCTACCATATTATAGTCCAACCAAAATTATTTACATTTATCTAAACTAATACAATACTAATACAATTTGTTTAAAAACGCTAATTTCTAAAACTATATTATTAAATTATAATTTTATTATTAAATTATTATTTTTTATACAAGTAGACCAGTGAGTGGCCATACCAGACAGGTGTGAAACTGCAGGGGCGACAATTTAAAAATAAAACTTAGGTATTATTGACACTACTGATGTGTAATGTAATGAAGAATATTTCCTATGCATGTTTTATCTTCCTTACTAAGTTCATCTGTAAATATAAGGTTACCTTGATCCTTGATCACTTATAATATAGTTACTTGTCATGATTTGAGTGTAATAGAACTGGTGATGCAGGTAATAACAAATATGGTTTATGGAGATACGACAGTATATGTAGTATTGATTTAAGGAAAGCGAAAAGACGATGTAGAAGTTTTTCCAATAGTTTTGGACTGTACCTATAAAATACCTTTAAAAAAATACATTTTGTTTATACAATAATTTGAATGAGACAATCATTAAAATTATTGTATAAACAAAGTGTATCGAATGTATGTTTTCGAATAGCGATTTTATATGAATATAGAATCGATTAACTTTATGATATGATACAACTCACAAATTATATTATTATTTCAGTTTCGTTTGGTATGCATGTCATCATATACACGTACAGTCTTCGATGAATAGCAGTGTGGATTTTTTTGAAAGTCTCATCGATGAAGATGGACGTTTCGCCGAATTAAACTCTCAAGAACCGCAATGGGGATACCGGTCTCGACCGCGACCGTTACCTCAAGGTATGATATAGCTACATTCACATACTTAGTATGCTATCTTGAAATGCACTTGCAATGCACGGACCTAGTTCTTTCCAAATTTAAATATTAAAAATATGTACTCCAGGTGTATTTTTTATTAGATACTAGCTGGTACCCGCGACTTCGTTGACGTGGAATTTAAAAAGCGCTACCTTAGAACTGTTGCACGGTACGCGACTGCAATCCATGAGGTCTCGGATTCCATTCCCGGACCGGGCCAAATTTTATAGGGTTTTTCTGAGAGGAAAAATAGCCTAAGTTACTCGTCTATAGATAGCTACCTGATAGTAAAATATTATCAAAACCGGTACAACCGTTTTGAAGATTTACCAAACAAACAGACAAACAGACAGACAAAAATGTTTTGTTGGTTTTTAGGCATAGGTATCATACAAATAAAATATATAATATAAAAAAAGTGTGAGCATGAAAAAATACCTATTATTTTGACATTACAAACAGCAGCTTCAATTTTATTTATATTTATAGTATAACACATGGGCTGAAAAGTCCCGGGCCTAACAAAGAAAACACAGTTTTTTTTGGTTCAAAATTAGCTTTAATCATCATCGTAATCTCTATCAAGAGCAACGCAATCATTCCAGCGCCGCTCTAACATTTCAATACCACTTTTGTAGGACGATTTATCTTTTGCCTCAAAATAGGCCTCAGTTTCAGCGATAACCTCTTTTTCAGGTCGAGCATTTTTTTCAGGTCTGCGAACAGCCAATAGTCGCTGGGAGCCAAATCTGGCGAATACGGTGAATGTGGGAGCAATTCGAAATTCAATTCATGTAGTTTTGCCATTGTTTTGATTGACTTGTGACACGGTGCGTTGTCTTGATGAAACAAAAATTTTTTCTTTGCCATATGCGGTCGTTTCTTTGCAATTTCGGCCTTCAAACGCTCCAATAACGCTATATAATATTCACTGTTAATGGTATTTCCTTTCTCAAGATATTAATGGCGCTTTGGACGAGGTTCACCAGTTGCTGTCCACTCAGATGACGATCGTTTTGATTCCGGAGAGAAGTGATGGATCCATGTTTCATCCATTGTCACATATCGACGCAAAAATTCCGGTTTGTTACGTTTAAACATGGCCAAACACTGCTCAGAATCATCAACACGTTCTCGTTTTTGGTCAACAGTGAGTTAACGCGGCACCCACTTTGAACAGAGCTTTCTCATAGTCAAATGCTCATGCAATATAAAGCCAACACGTTCTTTTGATATCTTTACGATGTCAGCTAACTCACGCAACTTCACTTTTCGATCATTCAAAACGATTTTGTGGATTTTTTTTATGTTTTCTACTGTTACCGCCTCATTTGGACGTCCACTGCGTTCTGCATCATCGGTGTCTCTACGACCACGTTTGAAGTCAACAAACCAACGTTTTATTGTTGTTTCTGATGGAGCAGAGTCCCCATAACACTTTTCAAGCCATTGCTTCGCTTGAACGGTATTTTTTTCCCATCAAGAAGCAGTGTAAAATTAAAACACGAAATTGTTTCGAAAACGATCCATTGTTTTGAAAATAACAAAGTAGCGTCACTCTTAGCACAATAACTCACAAACTAATGAATAGAATATCATGCAATTCTAACAGCTGTCTTTTGAAGGTTAGTATTAACTGAAAAAAAGGTGACTGCAATAAAACTAGCGCCATCTATGTGTTAGGCCCGGGACTTTTCAGCCTATGTAATAGATATAGATTTGTTTAAATGATTAACCATGGATACAAAGAAAAGTGTATTATGATGTTAATATTTAGTAATAATTTTATAAAAAAATACTGTGTAAATAATGATGTTAATGTTTAGTAATAATTTTATTAAAAAAATACTGTGTAAATATAATCAACTTTACAAGTTGATTATATTTCACCCACACATTTGAAAATTGACAAGCCCTTAAATTAATACAGTGACGAAGAACAATAGGAACCATTGCTATGCATTACGATCGATCGTCACCCATTTAACACCTTCTCTTTGAGACTATTCTTATGAGCCCCAACACGCTATATCTGCTGTATATTGCTCATTAATAGTGTATTCCACAGACTATTTGATGCTAAAATATCAGCTCAAGGTTAGCATGACTGCGGAAAATCATTGAAGTTATAGAAGAACAAAATTCTAATCAATCGATCTGTGAAAGTTAGCAAGGCCCTTTTGTGAAGTAAAAAAAAATCTTAAGATTAAGCCTAAACAGATCTTCATTGATTATAGATAAGAAATATCTGGGTTACGCCAGCTTTCAAATAAAAGAAACGCATCGTCATTGGCGGCAGACACACAGACAGACACGTCAAACTTACAGCGCCCAGCTTTTTGCGTTATAAATTTAAAAAAATGTTTTTCTAGGTGCCTTTTTGACAGATGTCATTTTTCTACTTTCTGTCTTTTTCTGTACTTGTGAACGCGCACTTTATTCTACCTAATAAATCCGTTGGAATCGTTCAAAGAAAATTCTTAGCGTAATATACTAAACTACGAATTATGGTTTTTCTTGAGATTCTGGTAGGTCTATTTCCAATATTATTATTATCAGTCTATGAATGACACTTATCGTACTACATATAAGCCGCCCTACCTGGATCGAAAGTTTAGAGAAACCAGAAATAGAATAGGGGTAATACTTTAATACTTTCTAAAGTTTATATATGATCACTACTTAAGTTTAATCAATTTAACAAAAAAGAACTATCAAAATTAGTAAATCATCTACCAGAACAAAAAAGGGCTTTCGAAAGTAATCTACATATTATATATTATCTTAATATTATAATCATTCATTTTTGTCTGTAGTATACAGACGAAGCTTAGTATTTAGCGGGCAGTAACGTTGTTTACTTCTTCAGTGACATTTAAAAGTAACTCTTACAGGAAGCTTTTATTTGACAGAACGTATATGAAACTGGAGCGACTGATTCGATCGTTTTGAATGTTTATGGATAAAAGTTCATTGATTTAATTATAACATTATTATCATTACTACTTTCGGAAAAGTCTAATCAAAATCGATGTCAATCGAAAATATTAAAAAAAAACCTATTGTTTAACTTTCACATCTGGCAACACTACATCAGTCAAACAGTAAAGAAAACAAAATGGCTGACGTAAATGCTTAGGAACTCGCGACCCAAATGTTTTCTTGTATATTTTAAACTCTATCGAGCTATAGAATCACTATGTCGAATTTGTGTTCTAGAATCGTTTCAAAACCTCCAAAAAGGTTACAAGACGGTAGAGACAGTCTGTCTGTTGCACAAACAAATGCTTGGATGAACGGTGAGATAGTGGACCCTTGTAAATATTGATTTATATATATGTCAATCAAATTGAGTGTTTTTGAATGCGATAGAGGTCAACTATTGGGTTAAAACAATTCCTTGGCTAAATAACTGCTGTTGTGTGTCATAGTTTTCAAGTTTTTTATTAGTGCTTGACCCGATTTGTGTAGTCGTGCTGTGAATGTTACATATTTATTTAGATTACAGTATTTTGTTATACAGTACAGTAACAAGAGCAAATGGTCATTTTCAGCTGAAAACATCAACAATGGTAGTGGATTATCGATGTCGCCGCCCCATACAGTGTCGCAGCGCGAGACTGCAACTCAAGTTTCACAATGCTACAGTGGGCCCCCATCCCCATGTGGATCCACAAGCGTGACACCTTCACCCACGGCTTCTCCAGCTCTACCGCCTGGCACGGCAACCTTGGATCCTAATTGGCAAGCAACTAAACCTACAGTACGAGAACGAAATGCAGCTATGTTTAACAATCAACTCATGTCTGATATTACATTTGTTGTTGGTAGTCCAGGTCAGTATTGCAACATATTAGACTTTTATTTATTTACTATGACAATTATGCAAACTTAATACAAACATATGTTTTTTACAGGGCACACTCAGATAATTCCAGCACACAAATATGTATTAGCCACTGCTAGTTCTGTATTTTATGCTATGTTCTATGGTGGATTAGCAGAATGTAAGCAAGAAATTGAAGTTCCAGATGTTGAACCATCTGCCTTTCTTACATTATTAAAGTGAGTTGTTCTCTAACTGTTATCTTTATATCACATTTTTCTTTACATGATGAGTTTAATATTCTTTTTGTTTTTTTTTTAGGTACATATACTGCGATGAAATTCAATTAGAAGCAGATACAGTATTATCAACACTATATGTTGCCAAAAAATACATAGTACCTCACTTGGCCAAAGCATGTGTCAATTATTTGGAAACTAGTCTTACTGCAAAAAATGCATGCCTGCTCCTCAGCCAGTCAAGATTATTTGAGGAGCCAGAACTGATGCAGAGGTGTTGGGAAGTTATAGATGCACAGGTATGTGAATCCACTGAGAATCTTGCAACAACGTTTATTGAAACATCCTCATCCTACAGCAGTCTATTGATGGAGCTATCTGAATCATCCAGTCATAATTTTTCGAGCCCTGAGAGCATGGAAAATCTACGCAGTATTTATAATTAATTATTTATAGATAAATGTTGACTGATAGAACCTCTTGACCAAATCAAATACTTTCAAATAAATCTCATTTTGATTATTAACAAGGAACTAAAATTATTCCATATCAATTTTAAAACGAGGTGCCACAAAGCATTTGTATACTCAATTTTAGGTTGTGATTTAGGCTTAAGAATGAATTTATGTTAACTTTATACATACATAGATTTTAATTTACATTCCTCTAGTTTTATGCATCTCTAGTCATAATCTTAAAATATATAATATATATACATTATTAGTTTAACTGCAATACAATTTGCTTGAATAGTATGCAATGGTTTGTTGTGAGCATGTAAATGTCTATATTACAATTTTGTAATATTATTAATGTAATGTACATGGATCTGAATAAACTATTGAACAAATTGTATTGCAGTTTTAATAACCTTCACCTTTCCTAACAGAGATTGTTTTATTATAGGCAGAGATGGCCTTGACATCAGATGGTTTTGTTGATATTGATGTATCAACACTTGAGTCAGTATTAGCCAGAGAAACTCTCAACTGTAAGGAAATCAACTTATTTGAGGCTGCATTGGCATGGGCACATGCTGAATGTATACGAAGAGAAATAGACCCGACACCTTCAAATAAACGAGCCATGTTGGGAGGTGCCATATATTTGATAAGGTTCCCCACAATGTCCTTGGAAGAATTTGCAAACAGTGCAGCCCAAATTGGTATTCTTTCTCCCCAAGAGACAATAGATATATTTTTGCATTTTACTGCATCAAGCAAACCACTGCTTTCTTATCCCATTAAAGCAAGAACAGGACTAAAAGCTCAGGTAATTATAATTAACAGAATATGGTAGTATATAAATATAGTATGTTTTGAGAATCTGGTACATATACATCATCATCATCATATCATATCATATACATCTTATATATACATCTTGTATAAAAAATATGTAAAATATAATGCAACATGATTTTATAAACTGTACTAGAGGTTTATTGTCGCAAATAATTTATATAAATATGTTTCATTCATGAAGAAAATTTTAATACTTTTCAGATATGCCACAGGTTTCAGTCATGTGCCTATAGAAGCAATCAATGGAGGTACCGAGGCAGGTGTGACTCTATACAGTTCTGTGTGGATAAAAGAATATTTGTTGTTGGATTTGGACTTTACGGATCTTCTAATGGTGCAGCTGACTATAATGTTAAAATTGAATTGAAACGATTAGGAAGAGTGCTGGCAGAGAATAACACAAAATTCTTCTCCGATGGGTCCAGCAATACTTTTCATGTTTACTTTGAGAACCCTATACAAATTGAACCTGAATGTTTTTATACTGCATCTGCTATACTTGATGGAAGTGAATTAAGTTATTTTGGACAAGAAGGCCTGAGTGAGGTTTATATGGGAACAGTTACTTTCCAGTTTCACTGTTCATCAGAGAGTACAAATGGCACGGGAGTACAAGGCGGTCAGATACCAGAACTTATTTATTATGGACCAACTCTCAACACATCATTAACCAACACAAACTCAAGTGAGGACTGACAATGGAGTAGCTCTTGACCCTTTAACTGTTATTCTGTATAGCAAATATCAGAATATTTAGAAATCTCAATTTGGACAAAGTATATAAATTAAAATTTTATTATAGATACTTAACCATTCCCCACTGTTGTTTTGTTGAAACCTTGTAAAGTTCTTGTGTATATTGTTGAACTTGAATAGAAATTAAGATACGTACCTTAACAATGTGATATGGGTGTCGTAAATAGCTCTCTTATAATCTGTAGGGTTAGCTTATCATCATGATACAAATTGATTTCAATATATTATTATAGTAAATAATTAATTATTAAAACGTCTTTTTTATTCAATACCTTATCCAGGTTGAACTATTACTTACTTTCTACAAGTACATTAGGTTTTTTTTTAATAGGTTTTCATTTACTGACTAGACTAAATTTTGCCAAGATTAATTTTAAATCTCTCTTTAATCTTAGTTCATCAGTAAAGTAGTTAATTTGCAAATTCTTGATTTGTAAAAAGTAGAATTATGTTGATTATATTTGACTAGAGAAGTCTAAAACTAGCAAAGTGTTTTTAATCAAATTATGAACATTATTAACTTACCAGTTGGTGGAATGTTAATACATAGTGCTCTGGACAACTTGAAGTAAGTGCGGCCCACTTGGTAACAACATATTGGTACTGCATCACTAACATCTATCAAAAGGTCTGGTTATGATAGTTGAGGAAAATATTATAATTGACTATTGTTCCACATAATATTTAACTTTTTTAAAGATACTTTTTATTTTTTATTGAAGATTTCTTACACATTGTTGCTCTTTTTCAATTTTATAGAATTTGACTACTAGTTTAGCACCAATTAGAACTTTTTATAAAGCATTAGCTTTCGCTAAGTAAGCTCTAAGATCTTAATCCTAATTGTGGTGGTTGGTATTTAAGTCCTGCCAAAGCACCCAGATCAATACTATAAAAATTAGTATTGACCATGAAATATTAATAATTAGAATGTAGTTTTTTTTTAAGCTACTGTGGAAAGCAGTTTCTACAAAACCTTTAACATGTTCAGCCCTAGATGGGAGGTGCAGAAGCACTTTTATATATTTATTTATATAACTTAATGCACAAGTTGTACTGTACACATGTGGACTTAAAGCCCAGGGCATATTTTTTTAATTTTTACTTCATATTCATATTAATTATAATAGATTTATTTCTATTTTCATAAATAAATATGTAAGGGTATTAGTTTAGAAATTAGAGTGTAAAGAACTCGATGAGTAAACTTATTCCACAGTGAGTAAAAAACACTTTTCTCAATGGATTTGTCTAAAAAACAAATTGATTTTTCAAGTTTCCAGCAATACCATATCAATATGAATCATGCCATCTGTAACATAAGCTATCTTGAAAGTACATATACACTAAAATAACTGTCCTTAGATTCTAGTTAGATTATTAAATACATACACTGAAATAAGATTCTATTTAAATTATACTAGTCTGCTTTACATCAATAAAGTTTTAGTAATATTAGAAAAAGGATACGAGCTGTCCCCTCAGTTCTGCAGGTCATGTACACACAGGCGGCCTGTGTGTGGCTTGAAGGTCTGCCTATAGTAAGATGCCGTGATAGAGCCATTTTATAGAAATTGCATGCAATATCTATACACTGCTGATTGAGACGTAGTTGTTGGCACAACGCTGTAATGCCTTCTCTTGCTTTTCTTAAAGTGATTTCTCTAGATTCTTGACCAATACCACCATTGAATGCTAGAAAAAAGAATATTATTAGGGTGTGCAAGCTTAACAAATGTAAAAGAATATTTTAATTTTTGCATATTACATAATATATTTTCATTGGAATTATATGTTTTTTTAATTATTTCTTTCTCGTTTCTTTTATTTCTTTTTGGGACCCCAAATAAAATTGGGAAAAGGGTAGGCAGATGATGAATAAACCAAAAAAAAAGCCATTAGGTATATTATTATATATTTTTAAGGTACAACAAATAGGTAAGGAGAACTAGGGAAAGGATACCATTAGTCTGTACCTATAACAATAAATGATATGAATGTTACTTATTATTATACGTATGGACACATTGAAAACAGAAGAGGCAAAATAGTTGGGCCACCTGATAAGACACGTCAACTTCTTCAGAATAATACTGGAACGATAGTTCATGGGCGTCGGTAGTCGCTTTCTATCAGGTGACCCGTTTGCTTGCTTGCCCCCTATTCCATAAAAAAAAGAAAAATAGAAGGCAAGAGAAAATGAGGACGGCCTAAAACAACATTGATAGAGCAAGTGAAAGAGAAAGTAGGAGTTGTGGCCTATCAGGAGGTCAAACAGATTTCAGGAAATAGAAAAGAGTGGCGATTGCTCCACCAACAAGGGCTTGGCTCTTAAATTAAGAGAGAGAGTCACTATATTTTATCGCTTTTCATATTGAATTTTCATTCAGCCACACATTGAGTTATGTATCCAAGTAAAATCAATCCAATTATAACTAACCAAAAAATAAAATTACTAAATGACATATACTTAGATAGATCATTTCTCCAAAAAAAAACAAATGTCTAAAAAAGTTAAAGGTACAGACAGCATTAGACACAAAAAGTTAAAGTAAGAAACATAAGATAGGCAAAAATATCTATACATTCAGAACATCAATAATATAGAAACAATCATAATAACATGTACATGAAACTGCCTAAATAGTCATAAATATGTAACACACCACAAATGTTATTAAATTGAATTTACACACTACATTGGGCTGTGAATAGACAATGTTGTTCTAAGGATTCCATTTTTTTTGAGAGAACAGTTGTAAAAGGCTATGCAATATGTGTGTGAAAACTGTGTAACTATCTACAGTATTATGCATATTTGTGTTAAAAGTACTGGTCCCAAAATCAACATTCATCATCATCACCTCAGCCTATGCTTGTCCACTGCTGGACATAGGCCTCTCCCAATGATTTCCAACAGGGACGGTTGATTGCGGCCTGCATCCAACGGTTTCCGGCAACCTTTACCAAGTCGTCCGTCTATCGATTAAGCGGTCGTCCCACACTGCGCTTTCCAGTAAGTGGTCTCCATTGGAAAACCTTGCTGCCCCATCGGCCGTCAGTTCTCCTTGCTATGTGCCCTGCCCATTGCCACTTCAGCGCGCTAATCCGTTGGGCTATGTCGACCACCTTTGCTCTCCTGCGGATCTCCTCGTTGAGGATTCGATCACGCAGGGAAACGCCAAGCATAGCCCTTTCTTTAGCACGCTGATCGACTCTGAGCTTTCTGATTAGGCCCATAGTAAGAGACCACGTCTCAGTTCCGTAGGTCATCACTGGTAACACACACTGGTTGAAGCCTTTCGTCTTTAGGCACTGAGGTATTTTGGACGTGAAGACGTTTCGTAATTTCCCGAACGCTGCCCAGCCGAGTCGGATTCGACGATTGACCTCTTTCTCGAAGTTGGACTTACCTAATTGGACCGTTTGTCCTAGGTAGACATATTCGTCAACAACTTCGAGGACAGAGTTTCCGACGACGATTCGAGTCGGCGCGACATGGACATTCGACATGATTTACTGCCCAAGTTTCGATTGAATCGAAGGATTTCTCATAGTCCACAAACGCCAAGCATAGTGGCCGATTATACTCCTCGGTCTTCTGTATAATCTGCCGCAGCGTATATATGTGGTCTATGGTGCTAAGGCCTTTTCGGAAACCGGCTTGTTCGGGATGCTGGAAGTCATGAAACCGACGTTCGAGACGATTCGTGATGACTCTTGAAAACAGCTTGTAGACATGGCTCAGCAGTGTGATGGGCCTGTAGTTCTTCAATAAGGTATTATCGCCCTTCTTAAAGAAAAGTACCACCACACCCCTGTTCCATGACTCTGGCGTGTGTCCCTCGAGCAAGACGGAATTGAAGAGCTTCTGGAGGACCTTGAGTACCGGTTTGCCACCTGCTCTCAGAAGCTAAGATGTGATTCCGTCATCGCCTGGTGCCTTGTTATTCTTAAGCTGTTTCAGAGCCCAATCTCGTAATGGCTGATGTCCGGGATATCTTCGGTATAATGTCTCGTGGCTTTATAATGCTGAATTTACTAGCTCAATTTTTCATTTAAAAATTTTGAATTATACCTCTATCATAACTCATAAACCAAAACTCATGTAGCTGGATGTAATACCACTATCTAAGCACCTACTGATATATACTTATACTTCTTTAGGATGAGACAGATGTTACTTTGTGAGTTTCATGTACTAGTTCAAAAGTAACAATTAACTATGCATGAAGATGACCAAAGCCAGGTTGGTCAATTTGGAAAATAAATTTAACAGCCATTAAATAAAATTTAAAATTAATAATTACCTCTTCCAAACCCAGTAGCACCTCCTTTAGACTCTGCAGACACAAACTGGCCTATTGCTGAAGCACCACCATGGGCATTCTCTTGAAATTCAATTTCTGCTACAATAATATTGTCTTCTAGTACTGTTCCACAATTTGTACAAACAGCATCTCCGCGAGCTGGGTCCACCTCTATCTCTGAGGATCCACAGTGCTTGCATTTCTTCCCAGACATTTTGCTAAACATAATATACGCTTATAAACATTGCCACATTGGTGCTATTAAAGGTTATGACCATTTAAAAAAACAAGCTCAAGTACGTACCTTTACTCTTAAAATGTGTTGGAGTTTAATATTCACTAGGAGATGAATAAGCTTTATGCTAGACTGAACATATATACTTGGAAAACTTTTAATAACATGCGAAGAATTACCCTTAGCTAAGCAAAAACAATATTTTATAACACCGCATATTAACAATAAGAAATTAAAAGATTAAAATAGTTCTATATCCCCTGTCTTTAAACTTTTATTAAGTATTTTACGAAGAAAAAACATAAACAAGTAAATGAAAATAATATACATGGATAGTTATCCATCAAAACTGACATCAATCAACATTTCAATCTAAACGTCAACGTCAAAAGCACGGCTAGTTTCAATTCGTTTAGTAGGTACTATTTAACTATCAAATAGTAAAATATTTCAGAAAACATTAACGAGGGTTACTTTGCAGTTGCAAGAATAATGTTAGGTTTTATATTAATATTGATAGCAATATATATTTATATTATATGAACTAGATGAAATTTATGATGATCAAACTACATAACTTGCCACTAACACACTCATTCTAACTAATTCTCTCAAACACTATTTCTTTTAACTACTTCGCTGTTCACCAAGGCAAATAATATTGTTGATTATTATATCTACATTGATTTTCAATATCTATCTAAAAATGTGTTGATGTAATCTCATAATTAAAATTTAAAATTGAGATCATAATACCTAATGTGTAGATCTTGGGAACAGTGTGTAAAATTGATAAAGATAGTATCACAATAAGGGCGAAGCCGTGAACAGATCGCCCAGTATCACAGGTTTTGAGCGAGCCAAGCCTTTCAACATGGTAGGCGTTAAATACTCTTCATGTCATAACCTCTGCGCATGGAATCTGCTGCAGCACCGAGTTTGTTGCTATTTCTGTGCTCTATAAGTTGATGGTTGCCGTTGTTAACATGGAGGCAAAAGATGGAGAGGTCTCTTCAAGATTGCAGAAGCGACGAAAGGACAATAAAATTATAGAGAACAGTTATACATAGTAAAGTGTAGGTGTTTACTATATCTTTGATATCCTTTGAATGAAACAGGCCTGAGTGTAAATATATTTGTTGTTCTAAAAATTTGTAAAATATTGATTTCTACGTATTTAATGACCATAGCATAACTTAATTAATAGTTTATCGTATTTTCATTGATTACATAAATTAATGGGTTTTTCGTATTTTGATATTTAGTGGGTTTGATGTATATAATAAGTAAATGAAAAGTATGTTTGTTCCAAATATGAACTTGTTTTAAATCTAGCACGGGTCATCAGCTCACCAAGTAGGTAGCTCTGTGATGGATCACTCAGCCGTTTTTTGAAATACTGGCAACCAAATGTGACGATTTTATTCATCCCTCAGAAACTTATTTAGTTTATAAAAAATGCATATACGAGTACTATGTAATTTAATTTGGATTTTTATTAATCTACCAGTTACTTTTAGGCTCTTGCGTTGCATTTTTTAAAATAAAAAACTGAGTAATGCGAATGACTCCAAGTGTCATAAAATAAATGTTTTATGAAAAATAATACAGATTCTACTACTAATCTATCGTCGTTCGAACGAATATTTAGTTAATTTGTCATGGTTAACTCTACTACAGACAGAAATCAATCGTAATTAGTTAAAAAAAAATCTAATAGTAATTAGTTAAAAAAAAAAAAAGTACGTTACTTTTTTTCAAACCATAAAGTAATTTTTCTTTTCACTCATTAATTTGGATTAAAATTCTCACGGAATGATAATCACTCGAATTCATTGTGTATAAACCTTCGGATTCGAATAAGTTCTAGCAACTCAATCGTCCAAATTTGTATGACGTCATACGATAAAAGCATTGCCATTGGTCTAATATCACGCTACAGAGTATTTTTAGACGGTGAGATCACCCTTCAATTTCGTATAGGCTGAAGTATGACTACACTTCCAAAAAGTTACTCAATTCCTCATAAAAGTTGGCGCTTATGCCGTTTTGAAATATACCATTACAAATTCTTAGGAGAAGGGCATCCCCAAAGCGACGACGACGTCATCGTTATCGTTTGTGTGCAAACCAAACTGCAGTGATGAGTCACCATTGTTGTGTTCTTTTTCTTGGATAATCTTTTCAATTCAAGCGAGGCGCCTTATTTTGATTCTGTCGTTGTCATTAGTGAACTGTCACGAGAAACTTCGCAGTTCGCATTATTTGCCAGTCTTTGATAGATACGCGGCGCTACAAACTTTAGTTGGAAGTTTCAAATTTGTTACTTGTGTTTCACAAGTTACGTAAAACGTTTTTAGTGCTTTTGGAACTTAAGTGACATTGAACAGATGACGATGAAGCTGGAAATGAGTGATAGTCAATCAAATCAATCGGACATTTCTTGCGATAGTCAATCATCGCAAGGTTCCTCAACAAATGATTTTGTTTCATCTATTCCAACCTCCAGATCCTTGCTCACGGTAAGTATGGAATGACCACAGACATACCAAATATTTTGTATTATATTTAAAGTTTCCTAAACACTGTAATCTTTATATTTCTAATACAAAGTAGCAAATACCTTATAACCTTGACACCAGTTCGTGGTTAAATTAAAGAAATAGTTAAATCCCTTAGTTTTAGTGCTAAAAACTACATCAATTTTGTTATTTGTTAAACAATAACAAATTGATGTAGTAAATGTTAAGCACTATGCCTGAAACCACATAGAACTTACTTTTAATTTTAAAATCAAAATTAAAGTAAACAAACTAGCCACTTGAGGAACCTGTTATTTATAATTTCTTGGAAAGATTATTAATAATTAACGGCTATCTTACTGTAGTATACTAGTCTTATAGAGAAGAATAGTTATAATTGTGGATTTTAAACAGTTATAAGTAGAAACTAAATTTGTCTGACAGTTGTGATTCATGAAGTTATGTAAAAGCGTCTTAATAAATGTTTTATTGAAAAGTTTTCCTTAATTGCACTAGGAACTTGTGAATTGTTTATAATGATTATGCCTTAGTAGTGATGTAACAAATATTCATGATAAAATTTTAAATTCAGATTTGCTAACATCATGCAAATGTTTGGCACAAGAAAAAGAAATTATCTGTGGATATGAAATGATAATAGCATTGATAAGAATTATATTTCAACCAATTTCAAAAATACAAAAGAAGAGGTTCTCAATTCGACTATTTATTTATTTTTTGTTAAATGTTAATATTACAATCTATACCAATGTTATAGGAAAGTTTAAATTAATATTATAGATGTTTGTTACTCAAACACCCAGAAAGTCTAAAAGGAATTGAATGAAATGTAGTGCAGGCTACTATTTATCCTGGAAAAATTGACATTAACATGAGTGAAGCCATGGGTTAAGGTAGTAAGAAAATAATACTAGAACAGTCAGTCCCTCAGAACAGTTTCACTACAAATCCTTTCTTTTTTGTTTTTGTTACTTTTATAACTATATAAAAAGGTCTGCTCAGAAAACTTACATCAAAATTACTTTTTTTATGGAAAATAACTATTACTACTACTAATTTCAGTAGAACTCATAAGTTCCATTTAAATTAATGAAACGCATATCAAAAAATCCTAATTGCATATTAACTGTTACACTTATGTAGTAGATTAATAAAGACACTCATTGCATCTGTGGATAAAAAGTTGAGGAGCAACAGATTATTCTGGTATGGACATATGATGCTTGAAGATAACCAAAGTGTGGTACAGATAAGTGGTAAGGAGTAACGAATGCAAGGTTAGAGGATGACCAAAGAGAAGATGAAAAGAACAGCATAAAAGATCATATGACTAGTACATGAATGAGCAGTTACCTGACTATTGATTTAGGAGACTGGAAGAAGAAAACGCACTAATCCCAAATAAATTTGGGCAAAGTGCAAGACGATGATGATAAACAAAGGTACTCAAGATCAAAGGTTCTGAAAATCTCTTGTTTTCGGTATTTCCTTCTGAATATTTAATGTGGACTGTTTTTGCAATATATTATAAAAACCAACAATACAAGAAAAAAGGGACTCCTTGAGAATAATAAATTAAAAAATTACTAATTCACTACTATTTAAAAAATTTAAACAATTTGCACTATCTCGTAATATAACTTAATGTGCGCAATTCTCTTATAGATTTTTATTTTATATATTTTGGAAATATCAGTAAAGATTTGAATGAAATTTTGCATTTAAGAAACGTTAAACTATTTAAATTTGTCTATATTGGAGTCTATACTAAGAAAACGCAAATAAAATAAAGGACAAAACTTACAGAATGTTGATTGTGGTTACATAAATTAATCTATTTAAGTACAACAAAAAACTAGTTGCAATAAACAATAATCCACAATAAACAACAATTATCACTGATTTTGAACTGTCTGCTACTCTTTGCTCTTAATATATATAGTTTTTCCTATTCATAATTACTTCAAACTGCTTCACTCTAAGTTATTCTAAAATATAACCCGTACCTATTAATGTTACCTCACTATTAATTGTGTACTTTAAGTGAGACTAGTGTGAAATAAACTGCTAAAAATTCAAATTGAACCCGACAAATAAATTATAAAGTATGTCAATTGATAGGTTTTTGAGACTTCACCAAGATAGTGTGTAATTCTTAGTCACCTGCCTTTTTAAGATGGTGTGTCACACTTGGTAAACATATTACACAGTCATTCTGATAAGAGTGTTATAACTGCTATCATAAGATATTTTGCTTTGTAGAACACTATTTGCATTTGTTATTTAACACTATCAATGTGTTATGAAATTATTACAAGGTTTTCGTTAAAAATTTACTTTATATGTATAAATTTATGTATCTTTTTTTACACTACCTTACAGAAACTCACCACACTTTCATAGTGTTTCTAAGTATCTTAAATATTCCTGCTGTTT